CGGTCTTTGGAGACCGGGGACAGTCGAAGACCGGAGATCGTTGATAAGTTAGCATTGATTCGGGAATATTCGGATAGCATGCATATCAATATAATTTGTCCAAAACTACGAGCGTACGACAGATTAATTTTGCGGTGATGAAAATGACAATACGCACGGGTTTTTAAGACAATTGCATATTTTATTTTTTTTAATGGGTTTTGATACGCATTCTTAAAAAATCAATTGCATATTTTATAAAATTAATTGCGTAAATACGCAAATACGCACCTTATCTGTTGCTCTGCCATTTATTTCATGCTTTTCCAGTGTTTCACTGTAATAGATAATATTTTGATAAACCACTACTGAAATTTATAATATATCATTTTCACTGTAGCCGGACTATATCTGAATGCAGATGAAAAGAATATAACTAAATGGAATAACAGGCCCAAAAAAATGCCGTCATACGTAAATGTTCTTTCTTTAAGAAAAGAAAGTCGATGTCATCATTTATCATGTTAAAAGTGTAACAAAATTGGATTTAACAGGATTGTATTTCAAAATTCAGGGCTCTCGTTTGATAAAATTTGGGGCCGAATATCGGCCCCATTCCCCCACCAAAAAAGTGTGTTTTTTCCCCTAAAACCGAAAAAAAATCCCCCTTGAAATCCCTGGAAATTAATATTTAACAGGCATAGAAAATGCCGATCAGCGAATATATATTTTGCAAACGGCAACCGGAAATAGGTACGTATTCCGCGGACGGCAATCAGAAATTAGTATGTATTCCATGACTGGCAACCAGAAATTAGTATGTATTCTTGGGAACGGCTATCGAAAATTAGTATGTATATATAAATAAAATGTTCCGGACAGTTTTTAGCATTCCAACATGTCGCACAATTTCAAGTCTTACCGAAAAAATAAAAAATCCCCTTTAAATGAAAAATATTTGAAAATCATGCAAAATTCCCCCTCTGCATGGACCCTGGCCCCAGTCTCAAAATGCTAACGAGAGCCCTGAAATTGATGATGTGACAGGAGAATGCGCGACGTCAGGCAGCAAATCAGTAAAAAATATTTAAAATCACGAAAAAAGCATGAAATAAAAAGAAAATTTATTTGTTTTACATATAAGATTGAAATATATTTCATTCGTGAACACCAGGTATTTTATTTTCATTCGTTGCAATGCAAGTCATGAAATTAATATTGCATCTGGTGTTCGCTCAGTGAAATATTTTTCAATCTTACATGCAAAACAAACAGATATTCTCTATTTAAGAAATACTATATTACACTAGTTATAATATAATGTCTACATATTACACTAGAGTAATAATATAATGTCTTTTGTGTTACAAACAAAAGCACACTAATGACAGGCCAAAAACTTTTAAGAACACTCAACAGTATGACGGACAGGAAACTAGTGTGCAATATTTTAGTGACATAAAAAAGTTTAGCAAAAAACACTTTTGTTTTCAAAAACAAAAATAAATTCATTTCGTGCAAAGATAAAATTAACATCTTTCTAACTAATGAAAATAAATTTACCAAGCCATTGAAACAACCAGGTTCTTGTAAACCTGTCTCAACAAACTCCAGCTCTTCAATGCTTGTAACTGGTAAATGAATATCATCAGGCAATTCAGTTGGTCCACCACCATCTTGACTTTCCAACTTTGACACGACACCAAATACCTGATGAACAGTGTCCAATATTTGTGTCTGTTGTCGAGACATTTTTTCTAATAGGGTAAAAATGCGGATATCTCGTGCTAAAATACAAAAATATTATTTAATGAGAAACATAACTTTCAATATAATTAGATCTACTGAAGTAAAAAAAAGGAATATTCTTTTTAATTAAATCATCCTGCAGTGTCCAGACCAAGTGAACATCCTTAAATGAAGAGACATGGACAAACTGCTAAGGTCCTATAGGTTTAAAAGAAATTATTATCCCGAAACAACCAATTTTCAATCACAACCTAAATTCAAACACATTCTTAATTCTGTTGCACTGATTTTATGTCCAACTAAATTGCATAAAGTCACATGTTGTATTAACTTCAAAACTTCCAGAAATGCCACACTTGATTAATTGTCAAATGTTATCAGAAAAACAATAAGAAACTGTTTGTTTTAATTGACACAATATAAATTGACCAATTTTAACTATATCAAAATAGTCACTCGTTTAAAATAGTGGTAATATTTTTCCAAACAAATAAGTTTTTTTATAAAGTATTGGCTAAAGAGTTTTACCATTTACCTCAGTCCTAGGTGTATTTAAAACATTTATTTATATGATGTACCACTAAATATTCATCAGACTTTACATGGGGGTCCTTATTAATAAAATCTTATATTGTTATCAATTTTTTTCATGTGATGATTGTAGAATAATTGTTTTGTAAGCGATACCAGCAGGCAGATCTAGACAAATTTCCATATTTGCTAATATTATACAGTGGGGAAGGTAAAATGGCTGTAAAGATTGGATGTATTTATCATTTTGCACCCTAAATATCGTACTAAGACATGACACCTTCAACTGGCTTTTTATACACATTAACATTAGTCATACCAATGCATTGTACTGTACATATGGTATTACATTTAGTGTGAGTTTTTAAAATCTTGAAAAAAAACTGTTGAAAATCGTTGAATATAGACTGTTGTGAAATTTTCTACAATTTTAAGAGGCCCTGATTTATCTTGAACAAATTTTCCATGGTGATTACCCTGCTGTTTGAATTTAGGTTAAAATATTCCTGGGAGTGGCCCAAGTGGGTCATATCATTTTTATTGAATTTCTAAGAAAGATCAAGACTTGTTGAAAATGTACCAACCTTAAAATGAATAAGAGTTGATAGATGCATTAATAGCTAAAATAAATTTAAAGTATTATTTCCTGTTCCATTTAATATTGGCTAAAAACAGCTTAACTGATTGAATATTGGTTGTCCCGGCGTTAAAGCGAAAGTCTATACAGATTTCATGCCCCTTGTCTATACAAATTTATCTGCCGATTTTCAGCAAAACATCAGGAAAATGGCCGCCAGCAGATGTTTTCAATAGACGAGTATGAAAGGGAATACAGTGTTAGATATCATCGAGGATATGTGACCAAAGGGTTTCAGAAGTCTTGGTATGGTTATTTTGTTATGTTAAAAGGTTTATTTTTACAAGATTAAAGCTAACATCTTTATCAGTTTATATCTTTGCGCCAATTGCGCAAAGACAGTCTTTTGTGATAAATTCATAAAATAACATTGTTGAATCTCTTACTTGTCATAATCATGACAATCAACGTTCATCATAATTCGCAGATGGGGTTCAGATAGTTTCACTTTCTTATATGCAATTTGCAGTTAAAACCATAGGCACTTGGTTTCGGGATAAAAACTTTAAAAAAAGCCTTTTGAACGTTTTGTAGAACTCAAATTTGATTGAATGTAACGATTTTTTAACGTAGATGTCTCTATTCTAAATTCGCCATTTTTCCTATATTACTAAAAAAAAGCGGCTTAGGGCAACATGATACCCTCTCTAATGATTTTTGCGAATGAGTGAAACAAAAGTGTACGTCGCATTGAATGATTGATTTGACATAAACATTTGTTTAATCTTGTTATTCATTTAATATCAAAATATAGAAAAGATGAAAATGGAAAAAAATGGATTTGTGTTATATTGTTTTAATGTTATGTAGAGGTGCAACGATACCTTTCGATGCACCGAAAACCGGTTTTATGAGCGCCGATTCGATTCCCGATGCCAACTGTTACATTTTCGATTCGATTCCCCACCCACAAATAAACATGGAAAAAAGTGAGAGTTTTAGTCTTTCCCTTCGCGCTTCATCACGTTACATACGATTGGCCAGTTAAAACTCGGTCATCCAATCAGTGGGCGCGTAATGTTTTATTTTTGGCAAACAAGTCAAAATGGCTACCAACATCAATGTTGATAAAATAAAATTAAAAAATCCTCCTAAAAAATTAAAATCAAAAGTTTGGGAACATTTTGGGTTTCGGGAAGGCCAGGACACGGATAAAGCTACTTTCAAAATATGCTTTACGGACGTGTCATATCCAAAGTCCTGCAGTACGTCTAATTTAATGCAACATATGAAACGAAAACACGAACACGATCATGGACGTGGACTTGTTTTGTAAGCTTTATCCGTGTCCTGGCCTTCCAAAAATAAGTTTGATTAGTACTACAGTAAGTAGGCATATTTGGGATTGATGATTATTTCTTTAGTCAAGTGTGAAAAAAGTGATAATTTCATGAATTTCATTTTTTCTGTATTGTTTACTAGACTAAGAAGTATTATGTGACAACACTGACATTAGGATTGATTATTCATTTTACATATTATGGGAATTAATTTATAAACAGAATATCTGAATATTCATTTTACATATTATGGGAATTATAAACAGAATATCTGAATATCAGTTCTGACAACCTTGTGAAACTTTGTTCATTATTATTTACTTTACAATTTACATACTTTGTTAAATTTCTAGTCAGTAGTCAGCAGAAGGTATCTGTGATAGTCATGTTACTGAGATTAATGATTATTTGCCTGATTAAAATTATTTTCCAAATAGACAAGAGCTTTTTATTCTCATAAACACAATTATTAAGTCAAATAAGTTTATATAATAGTTATATTACAACAGAAAAGCAAAGCACTAGGTTGAAGGCCACTCACTTATGGAACAGACAAGCAGAATTATATACCAAAGATAAATTAGTAATCAAAAATGTATCGAATCGAAAAAAATCGAATCGAAGTGTCTAAAATCGAAATCGAATCGAATCGAACATTTGGTGTATCGTTGCAGCCCTAATGTTATGAATTACGGACAGGGCGGACCGTGAGACAGGGCAGACCGTATGTTTGGATGGGGTGAACCATATTTTGGGACAGGGCGGACCCTGACTCAAGACGAGGCGGTTCGGAATTAAATGTTATAAAATATCTAAATAGTGTCAATTCATTTTCTTTTTTTTCTTTTAATATCATTATAAACATATACAGTCTACTCCACTTAACAATGAGAACAGTTTTAACAAGGACAAGGTACCGCTTACAACGTACATTCTACTGTGTCCCGGCCTTTTTCCATCTATTTTCCTTTCATTTTTTATCGTTTATAATGAGATCGTTTCGGTTTTAGTGAGATATCGGTTACAACATACATAATTTCGCTGTCCCATGCATATTTTTCAGAATTTTAACGAGGTCACTACATTTGCACTTCATTTGCACTTCGTCTGCATCAGTTTGTCACCTTGAGAAAAACCATGATGACCAATAATAAAGGTCAATTAAGGAAGAAATGATTGATGTGGGACGAGATAATGGGTCAAGCAATTAGAAATCAAATGTGTCAGCTTTGTTTTTTCTGCACTCCGGGCTAAATTGTCACAAGAAAGGAAGCGGTTAATGTCTTGCGGTGTTATTCGCTGTTCGTGAGAAATGCAACGTTTTCGAAACAAATTTTAAAATGTACATATTAATGAAAAAACACACGCGGTTAGACCTAGGTTGTGTTTTCATGTTTTGTTGAAATTCGATGATAGCTAGATATATTTATATACATGCATATTTAAATAAAACAAAAACTTCTGATTGCAAAGAGTTACCTCCCATTATATACTTTTCAAAAAGGATGCACACGAAAGTAGAAATTAATGATGCTGGACAGTGTCGGATTTCCCCAATTTGTTCTGTCCCGGTTATAACGAGACTCGGTTATAACAAGGAATCATCCGAAGTCCCAACGATCTCGTTGTATCTGGAGTGCACTGTACATACATTAATGCAGTTTATTAATTTATAATAAATTTGTTTAATGAAATTATTAATAACGCATCGAGTTGGACATTATGCAGGTGATAATTGACCAATTACAGAGATATTACAAGTCATTGTTTCTTAAATATGACAGACAGCAGCAGGGCATTTTTTGTCAAAATTATGAAGGGGTCTGGACCTGTTCATTTTGTGAAAAAAAGCGCGATTTGTCATAAAATTGTGAAAAATATTACATAATATTTGGCATTTAGCGACACTATGAAACTGGAAAAGTTGGTACTTTAATCCGCTTAACATGTGCTAAAACCATTTAATTTGATTTGATCTATTTCTATGTTCTTGAAATTGGCGTAAATCAAGTTTTACAATGTATTTCAAAGACAAAGTCCCAATATTTTGTGAAATTTCTTTTGAAATTGTGAATTTTTTTCTGCCACTTTGTGAAAAAAAAGTTCAATTTTGAATTGTGAAGGGGCCTTATATCGGCCCCTGTTATAGAAGGAAAAAAAGCCCTGCAGCAGATATAAATAATAAAAGGGTAAAACTTCATTTAACAACACATAAAGAAAAGGGCTGTTATTCACATCTGACATACAACACAATAGCATAAAATGATGATGAGTGACATTACAAAATTGCGCACCTATCCAGAATTTATTTTTTTTTGGTGGAAAGTGTCTTGATGGAATATTTTATCTTTTTTGACTGCTTTCTCCTGGTTGACTTCCTTCAATTTTGATTCCTTTGACAAGTGTTAGTTTACATCATAAACTTTAAGATGCTGTCTGTTTAGCGAATTGATATACATTGTATATAAACTATTCTTGGTTGTCCTATAGTTAGTAAGGAATTAACTAATATAAATAATCATTTTTCCTTTATACAACTTAAATGTTATGAATGGATTATATAAAAAAATATTACAATTAAAGTAATTTTGTCAAGTTTATTAACTTCAGTGCAGAAGGAAAATATGTTTTACTTATAAGATTTTTTCAATCCATTCCCACTATCTTACGCTACCTATTTTATACTTATAATTGCAAGGGTACTGTAAATGTTAATACTCTAAGTATACATTGTATACATGTACTAGTATAAAATCATATAAATTTATTTTTTTAAATTTTTTTTTGTTTTTGATAATATTGATATCAAAAGATAAAAAAATAAATAAATGAAATAGCAGTATTAAATTTGAAATTAATCACGGTCCGCCTCTTCCGAGTCATGGTCCGCCATTTCCAAACATATGGTCCGTCCTGGTATGGTTTGCCCTGTCTCACGGTCCCCCCTGTCCTACGACCATTGTTATATCTTGTTCAATACTGTCTGGTGCCATATAAGATGTTTGCATGGGACATTACAGATTGTTACCTTCTGATGCCACATAAGGCAATATAGTTAATAAATCATATGAGCTATAATAGATTACATTTCACACATATTTTTATTACTTTTTGTGAATAATTGTATTTATCAATCATATGTAGGCCTACAGAATGCAAATTTAAATTATCTGTAAATAAATTTGTACTGCTTTCAGAGAGATGTATGTAGATCAAACCCATCAAGTAAGCCAACACCATGTCTACAAGGTCATACCTCTAGAACCTCTCACACCTCTACAGCTGAGGACAAATCTAAAAGTTTGTATTCATATTAAATGTATTCGAACTTAAGATTATTTGAATAACTGGAGGACTTTTATCCGTTGCAAGTCTATGTTTGCAGCAGTGCTAGACTTGGTTAGGGTTGTGTATGCAATTTTAAATTCCATATTTTAAGTGACATAATCATTTTTAGCTTGATTTAAAACCCAGGGAACAGTGTCTCTGTTTCATTCATATATGAAATAAAAAGTTGCTTATTTTAATGTAAATATTTATTATTTACTTACTATTGAAGTATTATAGCATTTATCTCCCATGTGTTGCAGGTGGACAGAGGGATAGTATGAATGCTTCAGTGAAATTAAGGAGCTCAGGTTCTAACAAGGTACATGTATACACATGTTTGTATATGTAATGGATTCTTCAGATTTGATACTAAATTAATATTATACATATTGTCATGTCTATCAATGAATATAACTTGATAGGATTCCATAATTGTTTTTAAATAACAATACAGTCAGAAATATTTTTAAAAAATCATTGGAAACATGAAGAAGTCCACATTTTCATGACTTTAATATAATATTCAATTTGAACAATGGAATTCTTCACAAGTCTCTACTGTTGGGATGGCTAAATGCTTTTTTGTGCAGAAGACCTCCTGGCCTTTAATATTTACTTTGGTGCCATGCATTGCATTATTATATGTGACATTAACTTATATTAAACTCCTGTAGTGCAAGTTAACAATTACTAGTAAACTTGGTAAACTTCGTAGCAGGGCAAGTATTTACTGCCGTCGTGATATGACTGAATTATTGTTGGAAGCAGCATCAAACCCTTTACCCATAATAAATTGTTTAAACAATATTTTTCTCTTCCATTCAAGCGTAGTAGAGCAGTGCAACACAGAGGTACTCCAATGTGCAATTTTACAAGTTTTTCCAGACAGTGATTACAGCGAGGCTTGCAATTGAAGACTACTGTACACAATTTCTTAACAAATCCAAAAACAAAGCTGTGTAACATACAACTAAGTATGTATTTTTCATTAACTTCATACATATAGCACAAACTCTGCACGTTTCTGAATACTTATTTTAAAGGTTGAATTATATCTTACCGACCAACTTCAGAATGTCAGAACTTAGAAACATCATTAGATGTGTAGTCAATTTAGTCAGTCATCCAGCCACCTCGGTGATGTCCCTATTCAGTGACAATAAATTTTGAGACATATTTTACTTAAAAGACCAAACTAAATAGCATTTCACAAATTTATTATTTCAACAGAACCTTCCCTGAAAATACTTTCCTAAAACGTCTCAAGGGAATTGTCAGACTTTTCTACTTATTTGAGGTCATTTCAAGGGCAGATAACTTATACATACTCAAATGAATTCTTGTTTTTACTTCTGGATTATGTTTTTCTTTTTATTGTTGAGTACAATACATAATAATATACAATTCTTTACATCGTTTCCATTAACTTTTTTTCAATGAAAATAAAGGTACTTTAAATCCTTAAAAAACAGGCCATTTTTTTTAAAGAAAAAATGCACAGGTTAAAAGAAGAAGTGGGAATAAAAACTACCCACTCTAAATTTGTTCTTGCAATTTTGCATATCAACTAAAATGAAGGTAAGCTTGATGAAAATAAGAAAAAAAAATGTATTAATTCCCTTCATTGTAAATTATCTGCCCTTGAATTTAACAAAAAAGTCCAATTCAAAGGCAGATGACTCAAAAACGAGAACGGTGACCCAAATTTTTTTTTCACGAAAAATGTTTCTGTTATCATATTCTAACAACATCTTACATGCCTAGTTTAAAGAAATTCTATTGAACAGTTTTAATTTTGCCTATATGTCTATATGAAAACTTCCAAAAACATCCTTAAGTGATAAAAACTGACAAGTAAATAAATACCACATTTTGCCATTCCCATGAGTGGTCTTTACTTACAGGTTTAACTGTACATAAAATCTAAAAATATCAAAGCACTACATGCTTTGGAAGAAAGCCTTAACCAAAATTGAAAACTTAGTGCCCGAATTTAAGTTTAAAATTTGTGTATTTATTTAAGTGATCACAATTTTGGTAGAAACAATGTTATAAATGTTGCTTTCAATGCAGAGTAAAGTAAACTTTTGTCATTTTTTACAGGTGATTCAAAGAAAACCAAACTACAAACAAGAAAGGGTCGATTGAATGGAGTGACATTTTTACCCTGAAGCGTCCTATTAAGATAAAGAAAATCTAGTCGTTTGTGCCACGGCACAAAATTATCAGACACATAAGTAACATTCAAGTAGTTATGCATTTACATGGAGGATATGACATAATTGTATTTTCATATTGAATTTATCATATAAGTTGCCAGTTGATCGAACCACACACTTAATTGCCAACATGGTTGGAAGGGTCTTATTGTCCAAGCTGCAAAGAGTGTATGCCCTTATAAACTAGCTGGCACAGTTGTGTATCAGTTGATATCAGTCTGTGCTGGTTGCAAATTAAATCCGATGCTGTCATAGAATTATATGTTTTTATTTAATGTTTATAGCATCAATAAATTGATAATCTGAAAACATATTGCAAGTCAGGTTTTCAAGTAAAATCCTAATTAACTTTTAGAACATTTTGCATAAAGTAAGGTGATATCTCTAAGTTGTCAAAGAAAAGCTTTTGCAGCTCTTTATAATTAAAAATGGCATGGCACTTGTATCTATAGCTTTGTTCACCATCCAAGTTATACATGTACTCAAATTTTGTGACGTTTTTTAATATATTTTTCCCCATATTCCTAGTACAGTAATTTGTTACATTTCTCTTTCCTCTATCATTCTTAGTTTTTGTATTTAATATTTTCCAAGTGGTAAATAAAAACAATAAAATTTCACAATTATTTATAATATTTTATTTACTTGTGTATTTCATGCAATGAGGCTAAAAATGTAAAAAAAGTAATTTTTGAAGAAATTTTTTTTTAAAGTTAGACCAGTGTTGCTTCAGCCATCAATATGTTAACTTGTCATGTAGTATGTACACAAACATACTGGGAGAAGAAACAGATGTTTGGCTTAATGAAAGTACAAAATGTTTTTGCTTATCGTTTTCCAATGAGAAGTTACAATGTACAAGGTTAAATTACTTTTTTGGATGATGTTCTTTTCTGTGGAAAGACCAGGTGTTGCTTCACAATTGTTTTTTTTTACCTCATTAATATCATTATATGTAATTTCCATTTTTGGCTTTTCGCTTGATATATTGATGTCCTGTGTGAGCATCTATTAGCAATACATGTATCAATGAGTGTCATGAGTTACTTTTAAGACCATAAAGTACAAAATAAAACTATATTACAGCTGTTAATTGTTTTGTCTTTTCTTTCCTGTGGTCAAGGTTTGGTACTGCTATGACTTACTCTTTCAGGGAGTGAACTTAGATATACAACTCTTATTACTGGTGTAGAGGGAATGTCCACTTTTATGTTGACACTAAGAAATTAAAATTGTCTTGGTCTGCAGTAGCAATGTAGTTTTGAAAAAGTTCTTGCAATTTTAGATGAACATGATTTGCTCCTACCAGTACTTTTATGGAAATGACCTTATATATCTTAAACAATTAAATATATATAAAAAATGTTACTTATGAAAATGGTAAATTTTTAGATTCATACAAAACAAAGTCAAGCAAAATGTGTATAAGAACATCATACAGATAGAATAAAGTCAAATTGGTAAAGACACATCATGTCCAGTGAAATCTGAAACCTGTAAAGACAGATCATACTGATTGAAATCTGTATAGACAGATCATAATGAATGAAGTCTGGTTAAATTTGTATAGACAGATCATAATAAAGTCTAGTGAAATCATAAAAAAATGAAGCAGGGCTCATCCTTGGGGGAAAATTTAGGGAGAAGTGACTTCCTCGCGAAAATTAGGGAGAAGGGAAACAACCCAATGTGTATGCATTAACATGCATGGCTATACATCCTTTAATTATAATATAAACTTCAGAAGTCTAGTGAAATCTGTATAGACAGATCATAATGAATGAAATCTGTATAGACAGATCATAACGCATTAAATCTGGTGAAATTTGTATAGACAGATCATACCAAATGACTTCTGGTGAAATCTGTATAGACAGATCATACTGAATAAAGTCTAGTCAAATCTGTATAGACAGATCATAACGAATGAAGTCTGGTGAAATCTGTATAGACGGATCATAACGAATGAAGTCTAGTGAAATCTGTATAGACAGTTCATAATGAATGCAATCTAGTGAAATCTGTATAGACAGATGATACCGAATGAAGTATGGTGAAATCTGTATAGACAGTTCATAATGAATGAAGTCTAGTGAAATCTGTAAAGACAGATCATACCGAATGAAATCTAGTGAAATCTGTATAGACAGTTCATAATAAATAAAGTGTAGTGAAATAAATCTGTATAGACAGATTATATATAATTAATGAAGTCTAGTGAAATCTGTATAGACAGATCATAACGAATGAAGTCTGGTGAAATCTGTATAGACGGATCATAATGAATGAAGTCTAGTGAAATCTGTATAGACAGTTCATAATGAATGCAATCTAGTGAAATCTGTATAGACAGATTATAATAAATAAAGTTTGGTGAAATCTGTATAGACAGATTATAATAAATTAAGTATAGTGAAATCTGTATAGACAGTTCATAATGAATGAAGTCTAGTGAAATCTGTATAGACAGATCATATGGAATGAAGTATGGTGAAATCTGTATAGACAGATCATACCGAATGAAATCTAGTGAAATCTGTATAGACAGTTCATAATAAATAAAGTCTAGTGAAATCTGTATAGACAGTTCATAATGAATGCAATCTAGTGAAATCTGTATAGACAGATTATAATAAATAAAGTATGGTGAAATCTGTATAGACAGATTATAATAAATTAAGTATAGTGAAATCTGTATAGACAGTTCATAATGAATGAAGTCTAGTGAAATCTGTATAGACAGATCATATGGAATGAAGTATGGTGAAATCTGTATAGACAGATCATACCGAATAAAATCTAGTGAAATCTGTATAGACAGTTCATAATAAATAAAGTGTAGTGAAATCTGTATAGACAGATCATACCGAATGAAGTATGGCGAAATCTGTATAGACAGATCATACCGAATGAAATCTAGTGAAATCTGTATAGACAGATCATACCGAATGAAATCTAGTGAAATCTGTATAGACAGTTCATAATAAATAAAGTGTAGTGAAATCTGTATAGACAGATTATAATGAATTAAGTATAGTGAAATCTGTATAGACAGTTTATAATGAATGAAATCTAGTGAAATCTGTATAGACAGATTATAATAAATTAAGTATAGTGAAATCTGTATAGACAGTTCATAATGAATGAAGTCTAGTGAAATCTGTATAGACAGATCATATGGAATGAAGTATAGTGAAATCTGTATAGACAGTTCATAATGAATGAAGTCTAGTGAAATCTGTATAGACAGATCATATGGAATGAAGTATGGTGAAATCTGTATAGACAGATCATACCGAATGAAATCTAGTGAAATCTGTATAGACAGTATAATAAATAAAGTGTAGTGAAATCTGTATAGACAGATCATACCGAATGAAGTATGGCGAAATCTGTATAGACAGATCATACCGAATGAAATCTAGTGAAATCTGTATAGACAGTTCATAATAAATAAAGTGTAGTGAAATCTGTATAGACAGATTATAATGAATTAAGTATAGTGAAATCTGTATAGACAGTTTATAATGAATGAAATCTAGTGAAATCTGTATAGACAGATCATACCAATTTAAGTATAGTAAAATCTGTATAGACAGTTCATAATGAATGAAGTCTAGTGAAATCTGTATAGACAGATCATACCTGATGAATTTTTGTGAAATCTGTATAGACAGATGATAATAAATAAAGTGTAGTGAAATCAATGTATAGACAGATCATAATGAATGAAATCTAGTGAAATCTGTATAGACAGATTATAATAAATAAAGTATGGTGAAATCTGTATAGACAGATCATAATGAATGAAGTCTAGTGAAATCTGTATAGACTGAGTTCATAATGAATGAAGTCTAGTGAAATCTGTATAGACAGATCATACCGAATGAAGTATGGTGAAATCTGTATAGACAAATCATAATGAATGAAGTCTGGTGAAATCTGTATAGACAGATCATACCGAATGAAATCTGGTGAAATCTGTATAGACAAATCATAATGAATGAAGTCTGGTGAAATCTGTATAGACAGATCATACCGAATGAAATCTGGTGAAATCTGTATAGACACATTATATATGATAAAATATTTTCAAATAAATATAGACAGTGGTCTATTGATCATACGGAATGAACTCTGTTGAAGTCTGTATAGACACATTATATAGGGTGAAATATAGTAAAATTAGTGAAGTTAAGTTTTTTAGTACACATAACTTGGTAAGATCTTTCAAATCAGGACACATATTAGGATAGTTCAGTCAAATCTGTATAGACAAAATATCAAGAGTAAAATTTGGTGGTCATGAACCTTTTTCAGTACATGCGGTAATGCATTTTTTTATGTTTTTGTTCAAACTATTCCTTATAAAAACCTAATTTATTTTTCATGAAAATGAAAAAGTTTCAGAAAAACGTATCTTTTATTCCTTACAGTAGATCTATATTTACTTTCACGACATCATGCAGATTTTACGACTTTCAAATCTGTATAGACGAGTACCTTGTAAAATTAGTATAGACTTTCGCCCTTTCCTTGTCCCGGGATACCAACCCAATTTAACGTGATCGCGAAATTGTATGACTAAAGCCCTCTTGTCCATATATTTTTTTATTTATTTTTCAAAATTTCAATAGCACTCAACCAGTATATCAATTATGTTAATGATATTTTATCAAAAAGGTATTAGAAAATGCTAAATTACCCAGCGATTGTAAATATTCGAACTTTTGTCCCTTGTTGAGTTTTGCGCCAAATGTAAGCGTGCCCGGATGTACGGTGCGTAGGTAACTATTTACCATTGTGCAAATTACGATAAATATCCGTTCAATGGTTAAACGCGTTAAAATTCGGAAATTTTTTCCCGGTTTCATGGTCCTGTATCAAGGGGCAGGACGTGAAGTAGTTGCACACTTGGTTCAAGCGAGCGAATTGGTTGCAAACTTGACAAAATGGCGAACACTGCGTGATTTTTTGAAACGGGTGAACGAATTTTTGCCAAGCAAGTGGGTTTCTTTGTTATTTTGAAGTTCATTAGTATGTCTATTCCATAATGCAATATATATGCCTCACTCGGTTAAAGGTTTCAGCATCCTAGATTCTGTTTTGACGAAGTTATTGAAGATATAAACTGATCATGTAGATATTTTGAAATTTGACATGTGACCGTTCCGGTCGGTTTTTCTCCCAATTTATTCGAATTTGTAAGTTTTGAACTGCATTTAACAATATCAAAATATGTTTCTGTCAATGCTGTACAAATGGTTTAGTTCGCAAGTCCAAAGATAACGTTCAATACACAAAAATATCTTGTTCAAGCACATTTTGGTTGCAGACTTATACTTCAAGCATTTTTGGTTGCAAACTTTTGTGTCAATAATGTGGCATGCATATTTTTAGCGAGGAATAACTAATCATATAAATAATTAGCAATATTAAGGCAATTATACCCGTTCATCTAATAAGAAATATAATCATATACAAATTGTGCATGCGTGCAGATATATCCTAACACAGGGTATTTCAAATAGATATAAAACACAATATGCTAAATTGAAGTTCAGTTATGTTTATCTTCATCATTTTCACTCCTCACTATATTTCTTTTCTTTTTATAAAGTCTTAGAACTTGGCATGACTAACTGTAATGGAAAAGAAGAAAAAATAGCAACAAACAGCTTTCATTATTGTCTTTTTTTTTTAGATTTGAAAAAAAATGATTATATAGTAGATAAAAACTATATTAACATTGACACAATGGCATTATTCACATGTTTCTTTAAATTTTTCCTTATTATTGACCAATCGAAACTTCTTCCAAATTCCCTAACTCGAACAATAACTTTAAGGTGATTCCGCTTTGTCAGCCATGTTTGTTTTCACCAAGTCTGTCCAAAGTGAAAGTAGGCCAAAATTCATATAATAAGAAAGCTCACAATGTTAAATGATGAGCCATTTGCATGTACACTTCCAGTTCTATGATTTTAGGACTGTTTTAAACAAAAATAAAAATGATAACAATAAGAAAATTTAGCTTGAATGTGCTAAATTTCTGAAGACCAAGTACAATCTGTTGTAAAGTTTTACGCACATTTCATGAATGGCAAAATCCAGTTTAAAGTCAGTTTTAGTGCAGACAAATGCTATTTTTTGCAGAAAACACAAAAAACTTGCAAAAACTTAAATCTTAGGAAAGTAGTTTATCTGACCTTGAAAAAACGTGGCCTCCATGCCATGTGAAAAAGTAGTACCATGAAAATAAACATCATTTACCTATTTCTTGAGTACACGACAAACAGACACACTTCACTATTACACAATATAAAGGTTAGATTTGAAAGTCTGATGTGTTTTCATTTTTATTGTAGTTCATAAGGCTATAAATGGTGACTGTCTTCTTGCACTACTTTTTTACAAAAAATAATGGAGGCCATGTGCTTAGAAGGACATGAGATACTGATTTATTTGGAATTAAGTTTTGAAAGCTTTTTGTATTTGCTGCAAAAAATAGCATTCGTTGGCACTAAAGCAGACTTTAAAATGGATTTTGCCATTCATAAAATGTGTATGAAACTTTGCAACATAATATTCTTGGTCTTCAGAAATGTAGCACTTTCAAAGTAAATATTCTTATTGATATCATTTTTATTTTTGTTTAAAATAGTCCTTAAAACATAGAACTGGAAGTGTACATGCAAATGGCTTATCATTTTACATTGTGAGCTTTGTTATTATATAAATTTTGGCCTACTTTCACTTTGGACAGACTTGGTGAAAACAAACATGGCTGACAAAGCGGAATCCCCTTAAGTAGTTTTGTCACGTATCAGTCAATGTAAATAACCAATTGTATATCATTTATATTATGATCTTATAATCAAAATCATCTTTAGAATACAAATTGACATATGATGTACATCAAATCCGAAATATTGTAAACAAGCATATCATTTTAACTTTTGGTTTGTAAAAATATTTAAGTACATTTGCATACTTTATGTCTAAAGCAACTGCTGATCTTTACATACGAAACAAACAAATTAACATTTCTTATGGTTTTGATAAACTTTGGAAATTTTGCCGAGTTACATCGTATGTGTGCACATGTCCTTATGTTTATGACGAAAATAATTCACTTACATACAACAGTACTCTCACATACGTTCGTTTTGTATGTAGTTTTCATTTGCATTTTACATATGATGACATATTTTAGAATTGAAGTATCAATAAATATTTTTCTATATGCTATTATTTTGTTTGCAGGCTTTTACTGATGATTATAGTATTGAACTGAGAACCATGTAATTTGAAACATAAAGTGCATAATTGTTGTAAAAGAAGAAAGTATAAATAACATTTATAACAAAAACAAGTAACAGAACATAAATGTCAATAATTGCCATTGAAAATAGGTTAATAAATATAACCTTCTACACTCCTTTTGCAAAGTTTTACTATGGATTTCAATAGAATAAGAATAAGTTTGCAACCAAAAATGCTTGAAGTATAAGTCTGCAACCAAAATGTGCTTGAACAAGATATTTTTGTGTATTGAACGTTATCTTCGGACTTGCGAACTAAACCATTTGTACAGCATTGACAGAAACATATTTTGTTATTGTTAAATGCAGTTCAAAACTTACAAATTCGAATAAATTAGGAGAAAACCCGACCAGAACAGTCACATGTCAAATTTCAAAATATCTACATGATCAGTTTATATCTTCAATAACTTCGTCAAAACAGAATCTAGGATGCTGAAACCTTTAACCGAGTGTGGCATATATATTGCATTATGGAATAGACATACTAATGAACTTCAAAATAACAAAGAAACCCATTTGCTTGGCAAAAATTCGTTCACCCGTTTCAAAAAATCACGCCGTGTTCGCCATTTTGTCAAGTTTGCAACCAATTCGCTCGCTTGAACCAAGTGTGCAACTACTTCACGTCCTGCCCCTTGTGTATGCTAAAAAACGTTACCATGATAAAACTTTAATCATGTCAAACGAATATAAATCGGACCGATGTCGGACCTATATCAGTGAAATATGTCAATATCGGATAGACATCGGTCCGATATATGGTAGCCGACATAGATATTCCATCATATAGCCGATATCGGCCCGATATAGGTATGTTTGCTGGGTACGAATATGAACAACATGTATCTGGAATAAATCTGGATACAAATCAATTCAAATCCCGTACTACATGTTCATCTATACGTATAGATGTAAACGAGTTCCTCATGTATTAATTTGTTTTTTACGGAATTTATATTTCACTGATCAATAAGTGATCATTTTTTCGTATTTCCAAAAAAGCAAGATATGAAAACAGTTTTCCCTTTTTAAGGCATAATGAACAAAGACTTAACCTCCAATATTTATAAAATACATTTTAAGTAATTTTGTTTAAGATATGCTAATTTAAGGAAATATAATTATATATTTAAACAAAGAGTAATTTACAAAGTAAATGACACAAATATAAAACCCACCAGGAACATAAATAGACGATTACAATGTTCCCGATTTATACAAGTCTACTATCTATTTCACCATTAACTTACTTCGATAAAATTTATTCTATATGAAGTGTCCGACCTATGTTGATTACACAATCGCAACTTTCCGGCTTTTTCCGTCAAACTTCGGTTAATGACGGTAAATGACAATCCCATCATCTTTGCCCTTTCGTCAAACTTTGGGTAAGTACCTCGACTAACCTACGCTAAGAAACAATCGTATCTTCTCGTCAAATTTCGGACAGTCATTTTGAATTATAACCGAGATGTTTCGATTGTATAAATGATAAACGGTAACGAGATAGATATCAACATATATATAATATTATCACCGAATGATAAAAAGAAAAGGTTTATCTACATCATAAGATAAAACATTGATTGTGTATTCAAACCAATTAATAGTCATGAACATGTATAAATAAATAGTACACACTCGCAATGGATATATGTAAATTAAAACTAATATTTGTCTCCGCGGTATTTGTATCATGTCTTGGAGTAAATTACGGCCAGGGTGTCTGTACGGGAACGACTCCGTGTTACTGTAAATTTGATAACGGACAGTTCCTACACCTAGTCTCGCTTGCTAAAAGCGATGGGTCACCAAGGTAATGTAAACATTCCATTTTATCTCGCATTATGTCAAAACTATGGGAGAGGAAAAGGAAATGTTTCATATTTGTACTACTCATATTACATTTTTTCTAAAGTTTACTGGATATAAAAGAAACTGATGTTACCCGAGGGCAACATAAATTGTAGAACATTACACCGTATTTCAAGATTAGATGAACTATGGGGATTAGATGTCATATATTGTTCTAAGTCATACCTTACCTACAGGCTTAAAAAACGCTAAATCGGGATCTTGCATACTAAAATAATCTAAATTCTTCTTATGATGCAACCCATCATTGGAGAAAATAGGATATGTACAAGCTTAATCTTAAAACGAATATATCTGAAAAAACGGCTAAGAATTTATAGTCAGTATGACGTTGATCTTGTAACAAAAAGTCACATAATTATAAAGCATAGGATTATGTCTGTCATATGGTGGCCTTTTGCGGCCATTTCAAACCCACCGGTAAAATTTCTCGCGACTTTAAAATGGACGCTACCGGCCACCATACTGTCTTGCAGCACTGTCCATCATAAAGTATGGAAGCAGATGTTCGCCAATAAACGCATGCTACTCCTTTTCATTAATATGTGTGCTCATGATACATGCATATTGCCATATGATAATTTCATCTTTACTTGTAAAATGTATACTGACAAGTGCGAATCATAGAATATGATTGTATAACAACATGCTCAGGGTTTTTTTCCCCACTATGACACGCTATGTACTTTGTGAACAATACTCACCGAACTATACTTGGCTTACTGAGCATTAGTTTCTTATAGTTCATAAACAATATGCACTGAAAAATAATGACCTCACTGTGCACTTTTCATCCTATGAAGACACCCCAATGATTCATATACAAGTCAATATTTGAACATTGTCACAGAGAACTACTCAATGAGCTCTACTGAAGTACATTACTCAATGATCAGTATATTCACCCCTCTGTGTATCATCTATACACATATTGTCTACTGTTTTAACAACAAGGCATTGTGATAAGTGGCTTTAATATTATTAAATAAACAAAAACCATATAGAAGTGTTGGTTGGGGCTTTTCAATTGTACTAGCTGTTGTCAGTTACAATTACAATAGGTTTGCCGGCCACACGACCGTCACGAAGCGGGGTCAACGTCATGAACTTGTATTTATAAGCACAGCCCTTTAATGCCTTTGTAAATAATTATACATGTATTTAAGTCGGACTCCATCAGTTTACTATGGAAACGGTCAAGTAGGCTAAAACCACCTTATGTCGTATTTTGAGCGCTTGAAATCCCTCTGTAACAATCTGCTAAATTACTGCTGATGTACTCCTAATAACTCTAATACCAAATATGATATTTGATAAGCTAACCCAGTAAACAGCCGACGTTGACACAACGTTGGATTAACGTTGAAAATTGGTCGAAACGTCGGCGACATTCATATAACGTCAAACCGACGTTGAAACCCCGAAGTGTAATAGACGTTTATTTTGACGTCGACTCGAAGTCGGGTTTTGGTCGGTAATCTGACAATAGGTAAATCCAATTTAATAAACTTGTTTGATGTTTAATTCTAATTTTATTTTCAGATTTGTTAATGTGACCGACACACATGAAATGACATACTCATGGAATCCATGTTTCAATTTTACAGAGGGTGCTTGTAAAGAAGTAGCGGTATGTAGTACAGTATTATCACAAACTAATTTTTTTTCTATAAAATGAATTCAACATGTAGAATGAATTTGTATAGAGTAAGGTTAAAGAATACGTTGCGGTAAAATATTTGCTATGGTTAAAGGAATGAGTTATCCAGTGCCTTTTGATAAGAAAACATGTGCTAAATTCTTTATATAAATCTATTTTAGAGCATGTCTGAGCAGTTGAATGAAAAATAAATGTTACGAACTTGCAGTATTATAAAGATAATTTATAAACATATCGAATGTCAACGAAAAGAGATGATACAAACGCGCAAATCTATCAAGATAATGTAAAAACGTTCAGAATGTCCGAATAAAAGTTATGTTACGAACGTGCAGTTTTTTTAGAGAGCACACCACAAAACTTATTCATTTCAGCTATGCGGTATACAGCCATCAATTCCACATGACTTATATTTACCACTCGGTAACCAGAACACCGCAACATTCCAAACGAATAGGACCGATAACTCTGTAACTATTGTATACAAAACGCAAACAAAGCCACTAAGGTAAGGCACATGTCTACATGTCTGTACATAACTTTTCTAAAATCATTTCAAACAATTAGAAATTAGTAACTGGTTGCAAGTATATATAGATCATAGCAAACAGCATAGCAAATTACATTTTATTCGATAAGTAAGACGAGCTTATTAAGTGGACTCCACTGTGTGTCATTTTTACTTGACGACACTTGAAATATTTTTTTCTTTCGAAAAATATGTACCATTTGTTGTAGGTTTGGACCAATTACATGTTTGTAGACTTTTCCGTTTCAGAATTCTTACTTTAACGGTGAAAATATTCCAAAATTGAAAAGCGTTAATAATAAACGATTTTTATTCAAATCGTGCTAAGAAATGATCAAACATACAATTTCCAATGTAATTCTGAGAGTATCGTATCATCTTTTGCATATCTCCGCAAGTTGCAAAAATGCCTCTGTGGATCTGTGTTAAAAAGTCAAATTTTATATTTATAGGCTTTTGGGCCTTAGTGGAGTTCCTTTAAACTAATAATTTTCGTTACTTTTACGCGTTTTTATACTTTTGTAACCACTAAATTTGTCTATCTTTTCTACAACAATTTATTGTCGTTTTTCGATCTTTTATAAATATTCACTGAATTTCATTCCTCAAGGACTTTAGTTTGCATTTATAAAGGTAAGGTTAATTTAAGAATGCATTTGAAAGGTCAAGACAAGAAAACTATTTCGAATAAAGAGTAAATGGCGTAAGTAATGATAATATTTGTTTCACAAAATAATTTGCAAATATGTAGATAATAGATCATTATCATGTTACTTTTGTAGAACATCTTACGTGTCTTTAGTATGTATAAAAGGAGATACCAAAGATAGTTATTTCAAAGCTATCGGACAAAAACAACAGTTATCTACAGATTTTGTATGTAAATAAAACCTATTTTTTAAACGTTTTTTACCTCATCCATCTATACCTGTTATGCACAACACACGTACAAATATAAGTAAGCCTATATTCTATTACAATCTTTATACACTGTGAATGAATGAATGAATGAATGAATGAATGAATGGATGAATAGATAAAACATGGATGAATAAATAAATAAATAAATAAATAAATAAGTAAATAAATAAATAAATAAATAAATAAATAAATAAATAAATAAATTTTAATAAAATTTAATAAATAAATAAATTGATTGATTGAATGAATGAATGAATGAATGAATGAATGAATGAATTGAATGAATGAATGAATGAATGAATGAATGAATGAATGAATGAATTGAATGAATGAATGAATGATAAATAAATAAATAAATAAATAAATAAGGTAACAATATTTGTATATTTATTTATTTTTGTAAGGTATTTTTCTTAAAAAAAATCAAAATATCTTTAATGGACGTGTCCGTCTGTCAATTTTATTTTTCCGGGAAAATTTGTACTGACTGAATGCAGACGATGATAAAACTACAAAAGACCCATGTTGACATTCCAATTTCATGAATTCCCGATTTCATCTTCGTGAATTCACAATTTGAACTTCCTGAATTCACGTTTTCAACATACGGAATTCATGAGTTCACGATTTCAACTTTATGAATTCACGATTTGAACTTGTAATCGTGATATCATGATGATGAAATCGTGAATTTATGAAAATGAAACCGGGAATTCACGAAGTTGAAATGTCCCCACCGGTCTTTCGTATGTGCTTGTTGATCTTGTTCTGCACTTGTTGCATGGGTAGCAACAGTTGTCACCAGCAAGCTATGGATTATATCTTGTTAAAAGAATTTGTAACACACCCTATGTATTGAAAAAAAGTGTAAACAATATCGGAGCTTGTAAATTAATTTTCTTAATTAGGATGGTAATTAAGGATAAAAGCATTTTTCATCTTCCCTTGTGGCAATGATTAGCCGACTCATATTGTAACATAAAACATTCCATTCTTTGTCATCACTGTATACCGATATTTGCACGCTATATTTGACCATAGGCATAGAAAACTCGTGCCCTTGCACATTTAATCCAATATATATTTTATTACCCCGTGAATGGAGTTGAGAATTTCCTTTTAAGTTGTGCTGCATCGTTATATTAACCGTCACGATATTTTAGTTTTAGTAGCCACATGCAATTATTGCCTTTATGCCAAATCAACAGAGCATTCTGTTGTCTATAGTTCAGTGTGTTTTTTTCAGAGAGGAATGGGTTTTCAATTTTGCATCACTAAGTTTTTTTTGTCATTAAAACAACATATTTTATTGTTTTGTACTGTGGTTCTGTCATAATTAACACAGGAAACGTCTTAAAGCTGCATGTCTCCAGATGAGTCAAAATATTTCAAGAAAATGAAACTTAAATAAAAAGTACTAAGATTTGAAGAAAAGATACAAGTAATAATTGACATGATATGTACGATTAACGACTAATTTTGTAATATAAATCACCATATACCTGATGCGTTACTAACGCAGTAAGATCTATTTTTGGATATTCTGATCTCTATTTGGTAATTTCGGTAATTATAAGCACCGTTTGCAATGCATAGATTACTTTCTTTGTCCACTTCAAAATATTTTACTTAGAAATACATTTCAAAATTTTCATGTAAATTAGCATGACTCTGAAGCTTTACATATCATAAACATATAACAGCAACGTATAGCATATGATTTATCTTGCAGTATTTTGAATTACGAAGTCCTCTAGCTTGTCCACAAGGCGAACCAATCGTTACATCAACACAAAAGCCATCGTCATCGTCAAACAAGGCGTTAGAAGCTGGTCTCATAACTGTCTCGTAAGTGATTTTAAACTAAAACCAATTTTTCAAATAGTAGTTATTTTGTATTGAAATTTATTTGTTTTTGTAGTATAATCACAAACAAGAACTTCCCACTGTATTTACTACATTTATAGTAAAAGGAGGATACATGCTCATCCAAACCAAAATTTCCGAACACTGCTGTAGACATCGTCGGATACCCACGACCGATCCATTAACATTTATCCATGTTATGTTATGTTATGTTACATTTTTCTTTCTTTAGAAATGGCAAGCATGAATTTTATATCGTTTAAAAAAGGTTTATGAGCATGCTGAATGTTTATAACATGGAAAAAGTATGGATGAATGTGAAATATTTGTCATAAAAGTAGAAAAATGTAAACAAAGTAGTATTTTGACTTACAAAATAACTGTCCTATTTTCCAAATAGGCAAAGGATGTTTCGTGTAAATGGCCAATGAGTAACCTTTTAGAAACAATAAGAGAACATCAGAAATGAAAAGCTTTTTAGAAATAAAAATAAATGCATTTCTGTGACATAATGTGCCTTTATAGAATTGTAGTATTTGTGCTTATAGTACTGTGACAATATATCTATATATAGAAATGTTGCATATGCGCACATACATTTGTAGAATATATTCTATTTATAGAATCGTAGCATTTGCGCTGATGGTGGCTCTGACAACAGTTGTGTTAAAAATGAAAGGAAAGATCTGCAAGGGCGGGGAGAACTATGACCAGCTGTGAAAATAAGTTAACATACTTCGATATCTTTTATTGTGGTACTTACAAATATTGTGATTAAAAACATGAAATATAATATTAACATATGAAGTTTATTATCAAACAGTTTTTGTGGTTCTAATAAAATAATAACATGTGTTTCGTTTCAAGAAATGCTGTTTTCGAATAACAATAAGAAATGGAATAAAAAGTTTCATTGTAGCAAATAAAATGCGAAAAACTGAGTTGTTAGCGTGTCTTTACTTGATCCTATAATATACATTTATCTGTATAAAGATATTCAAACATACAAATAGTTTTAGTGATTCATGTTAATGTTTTATTCATCTCCTGCAACACAATCATTTCATGGTGTAAAACCAATAGACACAATATTTCGAGAGTAATCACGCATATATATCCATCACAGATCCCTTGTATAAGAAATTACTTATACATGTAATAACAATTTAGAAAGTGCTTGTATACGATAAAGCGTTTCTTAAAATCTTAATGTGCATTAAAGCTGCATGCCTCCAGATGACCCAAAATATTTCAAGAAAATTAAACTTGGAATAAACATAATAAAACTTTAAGAAAAGTAAACAAATTAAAGATTCAAGTGAAAATTTATATCTTATGTGCAATTAATGACTGTATTTTGTATTATCACATAAACCGCGGCGCAGGTGTGTAATAAAGCTATTTAATAAAAACGATATTACACTAGTGTAAAATAACACTTTGACCTGACGTCATTTGTGCGATATAGAAACATAGCGTTAAAGCGCGCTAATGTTAGCGTTACACTATAGGCGCGTCATTGAAAAATTACTCATTTTTACAGTTTACTGTTCTTATTTTATATATATATGTGATAAATAGAATATTATATTCGTGTAGATTCAATACTAAATTTATTGAACTCGTTAAATAAAACAATATTATGCTCGCCAGAGACTCGCATAATATGATTTTATTCAACTCGTTCAATAAATTTAGTATTAAACTACACTCATTTAATATCCTATATGTATTTATCACCATATTTCTACTACGTTACTAACGCAGTAGGGGCTATTTATGCATATTTTGACCTCTTTTTGGTAATTTACGTGGATTTTAAGTGCCGATTGTAATGTGTCAAGTACTTTCTTTGTTCATTTCACAATATTTTACCTTTAAATACATTTTCAAAATTTTCATGAAAATTAGGATAAATCTGGAGGCGTGCTGCTTTAATACAAAGGCTGAATTTCTTACCGAAAATGTGATAATTAAGGGTTTTATGTCGAAGGGGGGGGGGGGGGGTCATAGTCTTCATTGTGTTATTATATCTATATCCAAACTATCCGTTCAGCCATTAATTATCTTACGGAAAAGTTGCATATGCTAAAATCTTATCTATGTTTAACAATAACAAATGTAAAATCTGAAACACGGAAGTAAATTCTGCAATACCATGTTCTAGACCTACATATTTTAGTAATTCAATAAATGATGTTAACTTACAACAGCTGATGACATAAACAAATTAATACATTTACACAAAAATGGTTTCCCAAATTAATTTGTACTTAACTATATAAACAAAATTACGAAAATCACGAATTTTCCTAACTTGGGTTTTTTGTTTGTTTGTTTGATGTTACGCCTTTTTCCAACAGTATTTCAGTCATATAGGCGGGTAGTTTCCGAGCCATCGTTCCTGGAGAGTTACACCAGTACTAGACTACCTTCCTCCGCGCTAAACTACCAAAGCATCTCCCGGGGATCGAACCCACGCCAGAGAGGTAAATGATTAGAAGTCATCGACTTTAACCCCTCGACCACGGAGGCAGTAACTTGGGTTTAAAGTCTCTTTAAACTGTTTTGAAAACAATAATACTTTAAGTAATACCACCGCCAGTTGGTTCATTAATTGTCTTTAAAGAAGTGAACATATGGTTTTAGCACATTACTTAGCATGGCACTAACTTCTGCCTTAACATGTTTAAGTATTATCAAGAGAATTGTTTGCTGTAAATTGTGGTGGATATTTTATCACAACAAAGTTTTACCGTTGTTTGACCTTTTTACTTATAATATTTTGGTGCTTCCGTCCTTATTGGAATTATCAGTTGTTTGTCAACAGAATTGCTGCCAAATTCATTTCTTTAGAAAAAAAAATAAATGAAAAAAGAACAGTTCAAAATAACAATGAAGTAAAACCAAAACATGTTGCAATGATGAAGGAAAATACAAAAAAGTGAAATCGAAATTGTAATGAAGGTATCATACAATACAAATAATTATATTTTCAAACCCTCCACCATGAAGTCAATAAATTGTATGATCGTTATTCTAACACCAATTCTACAAATATCAACATATTAAGAGCATATACATTTTGTAAAGCTAAGTAAATCAATAACAATATAAAAGCTTGTTTGTAAACAAAATTGCGACCAAAATCCTACAACAATTTAAAGTGAAATCGGAACTATTATGAAGACATGATACAGATATGTCTTCAAACACTTCACCATGAAGGCAATTAATTGTATGATCTTTATTTTAACAAAAATTCTAGAAATGTCAACAGTTTGAAATCATATACATTTGTATTTATACATGAACTAATACATTTTTTTGTAAATACAATATGAGAAAACATTTATTGAATGATCTATATTCTAAATTAAGCCAGTACATAAAATTAAAGAGAAGTCTTTTAAATTATATGGTCAAAAAAGTCAAAAAGTCTATAATAAACAGAAAATTCAAGTTTTTTTTTTTAATTTACGATTCATTTTCATCTTGTGGTATGAACACTATTACATACTTGTGGCTTCCGCCACTCGTGTAATATTCTTTTTGTGGCTTCCGCCAATCGTAAAGTACATGTATGCATTTTCATTTCACTTGATGAAAATAAATCCCGTAAGTAATTTTAGAAAAAAAAACTTGATTATTCTCTATTCTCAGAATATCTAGTGAAGAATGATAAAATAAATAAGAATATTAAGCTTCTATGTAAAATTGTAATCAAACAAAAAGGGGTCATGCCACTGCTTGCTTTAATAGCGGACACTTTCAGAATATTTTACTGTTTACAGATTTTTATTTTGTCACGGAATGAATACAGTTTACTGACAATAAAGTGCTAGAAAAACTATAAATTGATCTTAAGATGGGCTAAGAATAATTTCCTGGTTTGTTAATGTAGTACTGAGCCCATAAAAAAGACAACGACATGTAGAATTGTTGTTTAATCTACAATAAAACAACGCTACATTGCGTGACCTGACACAGAACATCTGAAGTGCCGTCTTTGTTCATGTGCATGATTCCAAGGTATGCTTCGCCTCTTTAAATGTATTATTTATGTTCATGCTACTCTGAACGAATTTTGCTCACATCCCCAATATAATTCATTGAAATACAAAATCACACACATCAACAAAATATAAAGACAAAATAAATAAATAAATAAATATTATAAAAATAATAAAATAAATAAGTAAATGATAAGATAATAAATAAATAAATAAATAAATAAATAAATAAATAAATAAATAAATAAATAAATAAATAAATAAATAAATAAATAAAAATAATAAATAAATAAAACTAAAAGAAAAAAGATAGATAATACAACTTTACAGAATGTGAATGAATGCGTTTTTCATACTACATATCGTTACAATTTTACTGGAAGTATCAGTTCCTTATATGCATAATAGAGAAAATAAATAATCTAAAACTTGTTTACTGATACATAATAATAGGTATCCATTTTATAAGGGTTATTTATAACCTTAATTCAGCTGTGATTTTTATAACTTGTAATTCATGCATACATTTTTTTTTGTTAATTTCAGCTATCAATTAAAAATATAGTATGCTAATCTTTTGGTAAAATACTTTTAATGCAGAAATGTACTGAAATCTAGTACATTCTTCCTAAACATGTTTAATTTGAGTAAGTGAATGAATAAAGCATGTGTGGGAAGCTGCATTCCCTTTTACTTGTCAAATTAATGTGTTTTTTTTTTCTTATAAAAACTGCAAAAAAGTTTTTGTAATGACACCATGTAATCATACTGTGATTACCCGTAGTGTGTAGAGTGTAAAACGTTATATATTTTCTCTTCGTGTGTTCAAAAGATGTTTATACTATATTTCATTAGAGACTGTCTAGTAATTATATAAGTTTTTTTAAATATCAAATTTGAGCATAATATATTTTAAACCACGCGTACGTGAACAATGCCTTTAACGACGCAGACATGAAAGTGATATGGAGATAGTCCGATGCCACTGATGGTTACCTGAGTAAATAACATTTGTCAGAAGTTTTCAATAATTTATAAAATATCATTTTAATCAAATGCAACGTGTACTATTCCTTAAGGGACGTATACCTGTATTTTGATAACGCTTGAAACGTTATCAAAATAAGTCCTTAAAACATTACTTAAAGATACAAATTATCGGTATTGAAAACTTTGTTTGTTATGATAAAATGTCTTTGATGTACGGGAATTTCACTTGTAATTTTCGTTTTGTAACCTACGAGATGTTAAGGACGAAAATGATCAAGGCACTAATGTAGAAAGGTAGGAGATCACGTCATACTTAAAAAAACCATAACACCATTTATCTATGGCAAATGCTGTCTTTGAAACTTCGCACGGTACTCCCCGAAGAAGCATTTTTAATTTGCATTTCGAAGCAAACATAAAATAACTGTTTCGAACACAAGTGTTTGAATATTTTTAATACGAAACTATTTTTATACATAAACGTTCGGTTATGATCTGAATGGCTTACTAGATTTAAAGAACCAATGATTGCAATGCAGGTGGAATACCATGCATAAATCATAGAAATCCCAAGACAATGTTTGAACTTTTATTATATCTTCAGATTAATAAAATGCTTCTGTATTATGTTTTACCCAAAAACTTATCGAGTTCTATCTTTCACCAAACTCTATATGTTCAAAATTTTTTACATTTCAAAGGCAAACAAATTAAATGATGTAATAAGATGTCAATTACTGAAAAAATTTGTTTAAAGTAAATACTTGGAATGCCAGGTAAACATTTCAACAAAAATATGTTTAGTAGTATAAAAGTAATCATCATCCGTTTGCGCACACGCACGCACACGCACGCACTCACTCACTCACTCACTCACTCGCGCACTCACGCACGCGCGCGCGCGCACACACACACACACACACGCACACGCACACGCA